CTTTCTTTTAACACATCAATATGAAATAGTGATGAGTGAGTCTGTCATCAGTGAGGTAGTAGAAGGTGAGCTGGTTGCTGCTCTGCTCTTCCCCATCACTTCTTTTTTCAGTAGGGCCTAACAGTAAACAGAACTTCCGCTCTACTGTATTCTACAAGGTAGTATGAGCCAATGTCCACATTCTACTTTGAAAATAATTAAGAATTTCAGTGAAATAAATTAGAAAGCTGATAGTCTTGGAAAAATACATCAAAAGAGAACTAAATGGAAAGTATAGAACTGATAATTGCAGTAAGTTAAATAAATACCTTTCTAGATGAGCTCAAAAGCAGAATGGTAATAACCAAGAATTGAGATCTTGAAAATGAAGACAGATCAGAAGAATATAAATGACTTGAGCAGCAGAAAGAACGCATCTTGAAAAAAAATTATCTGTTCAGAGTTCCAGGGAGCTGTAGGAAAAGTAACAAAAGTGCTAACTTTTAGAGCCTCAGAAGGAGAAGAGCAAGTAGGATTGAAGAATTGTTCAAAGAAATATCTGAAATGCTGCTAAATTTGATGAAGTACATACTCTACAAATTCAAAGGACTGAGTAAATTCCAATCAGTTCAAAGCAAAAGAAACCCAGAGCAAGACACATCATTATTATCTTCAGAAATCTAAAGACAAACAAACCCTGAAAATAGCTGATGAAAAATAGTGCATCACTTATAAGGAAGCACCACTTCATATGACAGGAAATTTTTCATCTGAAACCATGGAAACAAAAAGAACTGGTACACATTTTTCAAATACCAAAAAGAACTATAAACTGTAAATTCTCAATCCAGATAATATATCCTTTATGAATGAGGGAAAATGTAGACATTCTCAGAACAAGAAAAAGAAAACAAATTTATTTTAAGCAAAACATCCCTTAAAGAATGCATAAAGAATATTGACTAAGCATATAGAAAATACATTTAAAGACACAAAGATTAGAAATCTGAAAGGAGGATAATATTTCAACTGATAAAATAATGTTATAGTAAATTATCCTTTTATGTAGTTTCTTAAATTATATTTGATATTTTCCCTAATGTGTGTTCTAGAGTCATTATATGAAAATCAGCTCACTGATCAGTATGTACATAAACTAATTTGTGATTTTTCTATTATGTCCCATTGTCTATAAATTGGTATTTATGCGATCTTGTTTATAACAGCTTTATAGTATATTTTGGAATCGGATGATAATTAGTCTACCCTTTCCTTTTTTTCTTTGTCCATGTTTTATGGTTGCACTGAATATGTAGCATGGCATAATTTGAACATTTTAACTATATCAATTCATCTAGTTCATGAGCAAGGGACATCTTTCCATTTATGTATCCTCTTCAGTTTCATTCGTCAGCAGTTTATAATGTTCATCCTAGTTATCTTTCATTTCCATATTTGCATTTATTCCTAGATGATTTCATATTACTTTCTATTTTTTTAGATGCAGAGTAGGAATGTTGGTGCTCAGGATGTAGATCTGAGTCAGTCCAGATGTGTACCCTTGTCCGATTTCTTCCACTGCAGATAATGTTAGTAGGGTCTATAACTGTGTCAGTGATCTAGATTGCAAGTGTTAATAAAAGTAGTGGTGCATTTTGCAACAGCTATGTGCTTCCAGAAGTGCATGATCAAAAGCCCCATGTTGTTGAGGGGAAACATTGGAAGTTCAAACCACGTTTTCATACCCACAGAGTCAATGATAGCATAGTGTCTGGTAATAGTAACTGTAATTCTTGAGGTACAGGCTATGGAGGGTGCTAGCCTCAATCCACTTAGGTGTAATTGTTGTTAGAAATTTCAGTAGCATGTTCTGAGGACAAAGGACTGTTGTTACCTTAGGAGCCTGTGGTAGTTTGAATGAGAATGTCCCCCACAGACTCAAGTATTTGAATAATTTGTCCCCAGTAGGTGGGGCTGTTTGGGGAGGGTAATGGAACTTTTAATTGTGGCTATGCTGGAGGAGGCTTCTCACTGGGGAAGGGCATTGAGAGTGTATGCCCATGCCCAATTCCAGTCTTGTTCTCTCTGTTTCCTGTGTGTTTGGTGACTCTTCTCTGATGAGGGTTGAAAATGTAATAATCTATGGATGTAAAGTTAAGAACGTAGGGGGTAGTTTAATATTATATCCATTTAACAGAATGAGTAATTTCAGGTTCTCCCCTAGGGCCTAGAGCCTAGCCAGTCATGGGTTTGGGGGCCAGTTAGCAATATCAGCATAACTGCTGTGTTGTGGGATGGGCTCTAAATCTAATCAGAAAGTGTTTGTCTACTCCAGTAACATTTGTGCTACTATTGCACAAGTGGGCATATATTGCCAGGCCAGTAATTATTATAACTCTCAGGGGCCAACGATGGGTAGGATAAAGGTAAACAAATGCTGAAGATTCTCTGTCATATGTGGATGCTAGATTTGAAACATTGAATTTGTGCATTTAAATTTGAGTACCCAAAACAGTCAAAAACTAGTAAGAGGTCATAGGGAGAGGTAAATTTTAAGGAAAGGGGGATAGAATACAGGTGATATGAGGGGGAAAAAGGGTAATAATGGGACAGGAAGGCTTAAATTGGGTGGGGGTTTGGAGGGCAAGATAGAAGAGGGAGTATGGGGAGGAATAACTAATACTAAAGACCTTTGAAAATGTCACATGGAAACCTGATCCGTAGAAGCTTCCTAAAGTATTTATATATGCATATTTTAAAAGTTTTAATGGAATTTACTTGTAATTGGGGAAAATACCTCCCCCAGATGACATAGGCTATCCAACAAAGGCCCAGTGTCACATATAAGTTAATTCTTTTCAAAATGTTGGTCTGTGGTGTCCCATTGACCACCCCAGACATTATAGGCCCATAAAGTACTGTCTAGAATTTGATAGTCAGATGTTGTTGCTTAAGAAACTGCTTAATTGAATCATACAGCATGGAGAAATCAATTTCATACTGACTTTAAAGCTTAATCCCTACTGCTATCTTTCATGGTACCGTTGTCATTTTTGCTAGTCTGGGAGAAAAGAATTCTACACTCTTACCTAGCAAGCAGCTTTACACTCTGAGTCATTTTACTTGCCCACAGATCAGGCATTTTTTGAAATAAGTAGATTTTTAATAACTAGTTCTGTGTAAAATCTAGTATCATTGAATACATTCATTATATACACTACAATAAATTATAAATAGATCAAATATTTAGCTATAAAGAAATATGCAAATATTAAACTAAAGCAAGTCTAAATTTCTAAAAAAGATACTCTCTTGATGATATTTGTACTCAGGACCTTTTAAATATACATTCTTCTAGATTGTTCCTTTCATTACCTTAGAAGGGGCTCTGTAGAAATAAAACAGTAATAGAAAAGTCTCTTATTGTACTAAGAATGGTTGAGAGTCAAAATAAAAACACTACTGAAATGAAAAGAGTAGATCCAGTGCTACATCTTACCAAGAACTTGTATGGAAAATGTAACGACATTCACATTATATTAGCCTGATAATTTTGGAAACCATATTTACTCTAATCTGTTCTTGCAACAATGGTTCATTAAAAATATCCCGTAAAGGCAAAGAAGAAGATATATCTTAATAAACACAAGTTTTCAATGGGAATATAGGTAAATTATTTTATCAAGTTTTCTCAATTTCCTCATTTCTAGAATGGTAAGTAATAGTACTCATGGTGCTTACTTACAAATAAGATACTGCACCAATAATGCTTAGCTCAGAGACTGGCTATTAAGCAATATTAAATGTTAAATATTAATCATATTGTTTATTCAATATTACTATGTTTTTGAACTAAGTACACTGTCATTTCCTATATTAATGTAACTTTAATTTAAATTTTTAAAGAATTTTGATTTGTAATATTTTTAAGTGTATTTATTTTCACTTTTCATTCTTAATGTTCTTTTAATTTACTATATATATCTGAGTCAAATGGCTTTGATTAGTATTGAATTATAAGTAATTTCATAGAAAGTGTGTAGTAACTAATCCCTTATTAGTTGTAAATGAGTAGTGTTAACTCCTCAAATAAAGGTACAAGCCCATGTCATGGAAACCCATGAGATGTTAAAAAATGGCCTGAAAGTTGTGTCACCATCCTACTAATCTCCATGGTATTCAACAGGTGGGATTTTTTCAAAATATGGTGTTATAATAAATAGTGTGATTCTAAATGTCATAATTTCTACTTAAGCATATAGTTTCCTGGGCCCAGTAAATTATTTAAAACATAGAAGGGCTTATACCAAGATTAATAGTTCTATCATTCTGAGTGACTTTCCCCATCACTTTAAACAGTTCCAAAGTTCATAGCATCATGAGGAGAAACTTTTTACCTCAAGCTAAAATGTTCTTTGAAATGGTTTCATGACATTTGAAGGATAGATAGTGTAGCATATATATAATTTAGCATAATGCAATTTTTGTTCAGAAACAGTTTTTAAAAAATTATTAACCAGTAACTTGAAGTTATTATTTTCTCCTGTTAAAATTATACTCGATAAGTATTTATAACACTTTGTGCTGGGTGGATTTAGTTGTCAACTTGACACACTTGGATTCATGGGGCCTAAATTGGGGAACTGCTGCCATTGGACTGACCTGTGGCCATGTCTGTGGGGCATTTTCTTGACTCTTGAGTGGTGTGGGAGGGTCCAGCTCCACTGTGGGCAGTGCCACCCCTGGGAAGGTTGTTCTGTATTGTATAAGAAAGCAGGCTGAGCATGGGCCAGGGAAGCAAGCCAGTAAGCAGCATTCCTCCTTGGCGTGTGCTTCATCTCCTACTTCTAGGTTCCTGCCCTGAGTTCCTACCTTGGGCTCCCTTGGTGATCAACTGTGAACCTGGAGATGTAAGGCACATAAACTCTTTCCTCCCCAGGTATTGATATTGGTCAGTTTTTGTCACAGCAATTGAAAGCAAACTAGAATACAATTTAAAAAATATTTTGTGTGTTTTGCAGGAATTGTGGTTCCTCCGAAAGGAAATTTAAATATCCCAGTGTTATTTATACCCAGAGCTATGACAGTATATAAAACAATAGTGATTGTTAAAGTGAAGAGAGCAAGTAAAGAAAATTGGCCTGTTGACAATTTTGATGAACTGAGTGAAGAAACTAAAAGGTAACAAAAAGGCATTGAAAAACAATAGTATTTTGACCAGAATATTGTAATATATTTCTTTAATATGTGATATACATAAAGCATAAGCTTATGATTTTATATAATCTGAAGAACTGCATATCATACATTCGGAGAAATAAAATATGCTAGTTGAATATACAGGGTATATTCAGTTCACAGCAATGAACATGATCACTATTGTCTTTAATCCATCAGATAGATGTGAGCAATTGATATAAACAGTCTCAAAGGTCCTCTTTTTTTAACTGGAAAAATAGTGACTGATTGCTAAGACAAATAACATCTTGAGGAAAACTTGTGCCAGCCTGCCTGAGTAAAATGTAGAAATTGTAAGGCTAGCACTCCCCAAGTGATGGCCTCTTGCCATTCTGATGAAACACTGCTGGCACAGAGGATTCTGTATCATTGCACTGCATATAGAAGGTAACTTGCATTCTTTGTTTAGGTGAAATTTAAGCAAGTTTCAATAACAGTGCAGAATTTAATTTTTTTCTCTGCTCTTATAGTTTAATTAAATAGTTCTCAAGAAACCTTAATTAAAACATATTATTGGGCCTGGAGAGCTAGCTCAGCTCAGTGGTTAATAGCACTGGCTGTTCTTGCAGAAGACCTGGGTTTAAATCCCAGCATCCTTGTAGCAGCTAGCAAGGGTCCGTAACTCCAGTTCCAGGGTATCCAACACCCTCTTCTGTCTTCTGTGGACAATGCATGACACGGGTGCATTTACAGACAATGCAGGCATAACATTCCTACACATAAAAATAAATAAATAAATAAATTATTAATATATCATACATTTTCATATTGCTTCCCCATATATTTTTTACTATGGCTCAATTATTATCCATTCTTTCAGGCAATTTACCACTCTGAGTCACAGCTAGTTACATTTATTGTATGTCCCAGTGAAATGTTACAACCAAAGGAAATTTGTTTAAAAAATAAAGACTATCAGGAATTTTGAGATATTTGTGGTAGTGCATTAAATAAGCATGAGGCCTTTTTAAATGTGAGGTCTTAGGGGGAAATCTCATAAGTCACAGGCACACTGGCATTCTGTGAAGTGTCTAGTAGTTCATTTTAAAGAAAATTCCATCTTTAAAAATGATCACTAAAATCTTCTAAAACGATTTCTTAATAATATATGATTGTCATTTAGTTACAGTAATAAATCAGAAAATACTCTTTAAAAGTGGAGAACTAAAGCTCTTACATTTTAACTTAAATCTCATGATGATTTTCTTTAGGATAACTGTCTAAAATTCTCTTTAATATTTTTTCTCTAATTTCCATGAAGAATTTTTAAAAGAAAACTATATATAAAACTATATATTCATGGTTATAAACCAAATTGTAATGTACTATAGAGAAAAGGAGCAAATAGCCAAGTCTACCTTCCCCACAGCTACACTACACTACTTGTCTATCTTGAGAATTTCAGCAATGTTTCCCTACTGTGAGCCAAGGAGATACCTGAACAAGCTTGTAAATGTTTATAATCTGTACATAAGTGAAATATTTAGTAACATAAGGGGAAATGAATTTTTAAACTTTTTTCTAGGTGACCCTATTTAATAGACTTTCACAGACTGAGAGATGTTCAAGATGTGGCAGCCAGGTGGTGCATGTGATATTTACTACCACCCATTCCTTTAACTCAGTTTGTTTTTTTAAACTCCCAACACACTATAATATAGCAAACTGGAGCGAGTCCTCCTAGAAGTTTGGCCAGGTTTGGACCAATGGCATCAGAGATAAGGATCTACCAGAACTATGCCTCCCCAGATTTTTACCCAATGCCATTTTATTGAGTGACTGGACTTTTAAACAACCTCCTGCCTTTGAGAAACTTGGGAAATTGTAATTGGTCACTTCTGTCTACAATCTGACCCTCTCCTTGGTAGTCTCTGCAGAAGCCTCAGCCTTAGCAGTGCTGGGATCCTGGCCTCTGCATACTGACTTTGAATTGGTTATTTTGTTCTAAGATCATGGTAACAGTGGATTAGCTGGGTTTTGGCAAGGAAGTTGTCTTTGTGGACAATGCCTGCATGCCTTGATAGTAGAAGGAAGTTTTTGTTTGTTTGTATATAATTCAGTTTAATCAACATACATGCATTTGTTGACAAAAATAAAATATAATAAAATTTCCTTAGAAATATTTATAAAATCAACATTTACATAAAATCCTTTCTGTTTTGTAAGTTTGTCTGCTAAATTTAAATTTACAAGGTTTACTAAAATGCCTCCAGACTAATAAACAATAAGCCATTTTAAGTTGATATTGAAAATTATTTTTGGTTATTTAGTTTCTGTTTTTCTTAACTCTTTATACTTTAAATTTAAACAGAATTACAGGAATAAATAGAGAAGAAATCAAAGCAATCCATTGGCTATATCCTATCATTGGACTCCCACAGGCACCACCTCCTAAAAGTCCTCCAGGTAAGTATATTTTGCTGAGAAAAAAAAGGAAAAAAAAAAGGAAAAAAAAAAAGAATTCTAAGGAACCTTAGGGATCCTCTCATCCCATCTCTTCTTTGGGCAGATGAGAAATTTGAGCTCTAGAACAAGTAGTAAGCAACCCCTTGATGGGTGGGATGCTGCAGCTTTGCTTTCTTTCTTACCACTTGCTCTAGTAACTCTGTGTTCTGAATGCCTATCTTGAGAAATTCAGAGGGAGGTTTTTAAATGCTTACAATTTTGTTTTTTCCTTCTACATCGGATATCAATTTTTGCAAATGAAAAGAATTAGAATTTCAGACTCTGGATATGACTCAATGGTAGAATACCTCCACAGAATGTAAGAGGACCTGAAAAAAAAAAACCTCCAACAATAAATAAATAAACGAAATGATTAGATTCTACTGACAAATTATGTGAGCACACTTTGAAAGAGAAGCAGTAGTAAATTTTGCTTACAATGAAGCATATCCCAAAGTATACTAGCATTGATTATAAAGAAATGCCATGATTAAATACTTCTTTGTTTAGTTTAAACTGTGGTAAAATCCACATATACTGAAGTACTTTTGGCATTTACAAGTTATTTTGACTTATACATTCACTCTTGAATTTAAAACTTATCAATGCATAAGGAAGTCATTTTGAATATATTAGATTATCCTTAAAATACTTCTAAGACATGATAAAATAACTTTTATGTCATGTATTATTGATAGAGCTAAACAGTTTTTTAAAAATATTTTATTTTTATTTTCTGGGCATTAGTGTATTGCCTGCATATAGGTAAGTGCACTGGTGTCATTCAGTGCTAATGGACATCAGAAGAGGTTGTCAGATCCCTGGAACTGGAGTTACAGATGGTTGTTACTCACCTACTGCCAAAGGAGCCAGTGCTCATAACCGCTGAGATATCCCTCCAGCCCATGAGCTAAATATTTAAAAATTTATAATACACTGTTATCTGGTCAGAGTCATGTAGTAAAAAGTAGATAACATACTGTTGGGATTCTGATAGTGTTGCTTGGATAGACTTTAGATATTTTTCCCCCAAGATTAATCATGTTAAGCAGAATTTTTTTTTTCTCTTTACCAAAGCCAGTGTGTACTTTCTCATGTATTTCCTTCAAAAAAATTTTAAATATGTCCTATATTTTTTTCTGTGACTTAGTTTTCTTGTACTTACTTTTTAAATTAATTATGAATTTTGTGATTAGTCTGTGTTATATTAGCACAGGATAGTAATAACCTCAGTGTTCCGGTAAAATTAAATGTCACTTATTAAATTGTTTCACAGAAAATCTAAAATCTGTTGGTAATTTTTTTTTGTAGAAATCTTCTGGAGAAGGAAGTGGGTAAATTTTTGTACATGTACATTATTGATTTTTGGACAGTCATTTCTATAGCACTTTCCAGTGATAACCCCCTACTGTCTCTGTTCACCTATATCACCATCAATGGTTTTTTTTTTTTTATTTCCTTTCTTTGTACACAGTTGTCACATAGATTATATGTAAACCTAGGGCAATTTAGCTGTTCTGTGAGCTATTAATTCTCTGTGTTCTTTCTTACCTACTTACTGTCCACTGAGGCAGATAATTAGAAAATAACTCTACTACCTGTGATACTAGAAACACAATGGAAAGTAATTCCACTGTGATGGATTGAGCAATAATTTCTTAAAGACTTACAAGTTAAGACAAATGACACGACACCAACTATAAATTGATCCCGCTAATTTCCAATTTAGTGCTTTATGATTGGACTTAACTATAAACAGAAAAGCTTGTACAATTTCCAAACCATTTAACTTCTTTAATTTATATCTAATTTTGTACAGTTATTTTTCATTTCACATACTGTTTCTAAGACCAGAAAGTTTAACGTAAATGCATAACTGTAGAATGAAAAATTAATTTTGTAATATTTGTACATTATTCTGTATTATACCTGAAAATATCATTAATTTTCTACTTCATATGAATTGATTACTGTTGATTCTGTGAAAGCATAGCATTCTGTAACTCAAAGCTTTTTAAGATGCAGATTTTAGTTTTCACTTATTTTCAATTTATATTTTATATGCACCAAAAGGATACTTATATATTTGGGAGGAAAAAATTGTGTATGTGTGGAATGCCATAGACATTGTCCCATACTATTATAGAGTCGATTATTACTTATTTTTTCATAATTAGTAATAGTACAAAATAGTAATAATATCATCAATAGCTTTTCATGACCTTGATGGAGGAAAATCTCAACATGTAATACGTATCTAAGCATATAGGATATCACTAACTATAGGGATTAAAATTGGTGTATAATAAAAATTTAAGATTAATATTAAAAGTCATCATAACTTTACTTATAACTACTGATGCGATAGATTTCATAGATTTGAAATTTAAAATTTTTGCGTGAGTATGAGTTTTAAGGTACATGCAAGAAGCCTAAGTATATTTTAAATGTTATTACTAAATACAGTGTTATTGAACTTGTTTTTAATTATTTGAAGGCATATGCATTAGTGTTATAAAAATAGGTATGAGAGTGCCACTATAAATGTACCGATTTTTAAAAGATAGACATTCATTTGTCCACAGTTGCCATTTTCAGCTCTTTATGCAAATTTCTACATCCTTATATAGTCAGTCATAAGTTAGTATATGTCCTGCAGATTTCACCTTTGGATACTATTTTTACCTATTATTTAATGTTCATATTTACTTCTAAGATATGAATATAGAGATACATTTAATGTGTGCATGCCATATGTAATGCCAATTTAAATTATGCAGTGAAATTTTATTTTTTTATGTAGTTTATTTTTTCTCAGAAACTAAATTACCTAATATTTTACTTAACTAAAAAAAAATTTCTTCCTCCCACAGTTGTCATAAGATGTCAGGCCAACAAGCGGGCAGAAACGAAGGTGAAGGTGTCAATGGTTAGTAATTTTTTTGGCCCACATCCTTCACATGATGTGATCGATTTTACAGTGTCTCCAAAAAGAAATTCATTGAACAGCGTTTATGAAGATGTTGACGGTAAGAAACCAAAATCATGGCTGTAAGAATTCTAATAAACAAGAATTCAGTTATTTAGTTATTTTGCTTTTGTTTTTGTTGTTGCTGTTTGGTTAGGGAAGTTCTTTGTTTTGAGACAGGGTCACATTGCATAAAACTGGCTGGCCTGGAATTCTATGCAGACCAGACTGACCCCTAATAGAGATCCACCCATGTCTGCCTCCTCAATGCTAGAATTAAAGGCATGCACTGCCACACCCTACAAATTCAGTAAATTTAAATTGTAGGTTGTTGATTGTTCCATAATTAAGATCCACTTAATTTTCATTTACAATAATCCAATTCTAGTTAGTACTTAAGTACTCTGTTAAATTTGTTGTCTCCACATAGTAGTTAACATAATAATGATTATGGTTATTACGATTTATAACACATGGGTTTTAATTCCATCAACAACGAGAAAAGAGAAACTGTAGTAAGTAAAATTACCATTTCAACTCAACTTTAACATCTTTCTCTACATTTCCTGTTTTTTTTTTGTTTGTTTGTGGTTTTGAGAATTGAACCCATTTCATTCATGTTAGACAAGTACTCAGCAACTGGGCTCATCTTCCAGCATCTTCTAGATTCAAGGACTGTGATTGAAGGCATGATTCATAATGTTTAATTTACAAACAAAACTTTAACAACTATTTCTTACTTTAAGAAATTAAAAAATTGACATGAATTAAATATAATACTCAGTTTAATATAATAGTTTACTGTGCACATTATGTTTCTCTTCCATATTTTATATTCAAATAAAATAATTTAAAATGCTATAAATATTGCCCTCCTGAGCTCAAAATCTAAAATGATGCAAAATTCAAAACCAACATAACACCACAAGAAGAAAATTCCACACCTGATCCCATGTAGCAAGTTATAATCACAGCAAAGGACATAATCAGCAGTGTAAAAAGTAGTTTATCGAATGGAAGAAAATATTTTGAAACCGTGTATATGATATATCTCCAAAATATGGCTACAACTAATATAAATACCTATTAAACTGGTTAAAAATATGCTGAAGAACTTGAATAAAATTTTCTCCAAAGAAAATACAAAAAAATAGTTAATACTTATACGAAAAAAATTCAATGTTGCTAATTACATGGAAAATGCTAGTGAAATCCCCAGTAAGGTGTCACATCACATTTAACAATGTGACTGTTATTTAAAGAAAAAAGGCAAGTATTGACAAGAATGTAAGGATATTGTAAAGCTTTCACATTCTTGACAAGAGGGTAAAATGATAGAGCCAGCATAAAAATTAATATGTAGATCCCTCATAAATGTTGAAACAGAACGATAGCATTATTATTGTAGTTCCACTTTTGGATGGAAATCTAAATGAATTGAAATCAGAGCCTCATAGATACCTCTATCCCTATGTTCAGTGAAACATTATTCACAGTACCCAAGTAATAGGAAATAATTTAAACGTCTATCAAGAGATGAATTGACAAAATATTGTTAAATTTAGGTGGACCACTATTTAGCCTTAAAAACATTAAATAATATGCAACAACGTGGGTTAACCCAAAGGTCATTATGCTAAATGTAGTGAGATAAAAATATATGACAGCATTCATTATGAATTTAAAATTTAAAAGTTACAGAAATAACAGAGTGAAGAAACTTGGGAGATGGGTCATCGGGTAACCTGCTTGTCCTGTAAGCATGAGGTCTAGAGTTAGGATATTCAGAACCCATGTAAAATCTAGGTGAGTATGTCACTCTGCTTGTAATCCAAGTACTTGAGGGGCAGAAACACAATCCCTGGAACAAGAGACTCTGCTTCAATATGTAAGATGGAGAACTATCAAGGAAGACACTCAACATCAACTTTGAATTTACATACATGCACATGGACCCACCCACACACGTGTGCTCCCACACATACACAAACACACACACATGTACAGGTATACTCATGCACACCACACACATCCATATGAAAAAAAAAAGAATGAAATAGTGTAAAAGGAGTTGCCAGGGACTGTAGGAAAATAGGAGTTGAAAGTATGTTTTTGTGTTTATTAAGTTTCAGTTGTGTAAAGACAAAAATATTGCTAGAGAGCTTTTTATGACATAGTGAATAGATATAATAATATTATTTAGTGCATTTAAAATTTTCTGAAGATGGTAGATTTCCCATTAAAGGAAGTGAAGGTAAAGAACTGTTTGTATGTGGGAACCTGTAGTATGGAAGATGAAAAGTAACTATACAGGGGTTTCAGACTTCTCGCCATCCTTATGCAGAAGGAAAACAAACCAGTCTCCTCTCAAGCTTAAAATTATTATGGGTCTATGATATTTATTTTAAACATGAGCTGACCACATCTTCTCCTTAAACATATATGACAATAACTTGGTTTATTCACCTACCTTATCTCAAGGGTTTAAACACCTTTCCTGAATTTTCTATAAATCTGTCTCAACTGTTTTCTCTCACCTATTTTTATTATGAAGGATCAAGTGTGACCACAAAGTCTGAATGCTATTTTTATCTTGCAAAAGACTTTAACATATGCAAAAATCAGACTAGGTCCTTTCTTATATGTAAGTTCATTGTAATAAATACTAAATAGTGTGCAGAAGAGGTGTGTTTTTCATGTCACTATGTGCTTCTGATCTCTTAAAATGTCTCATGATGGAATTTAAAGCATTACACTGTAATTTAGACTCTTGACAAGGTTTTAACTGACAGTTAATCACATCTTTTCTTCTTTCTTCTGACGCTAAAACTAACAGAAAAATATGCAGAAATATGGAAGATGAAAATCAAAATGTTAGCTTGATTAATCATAAAGGTGAATTTGAAAGTGACTTGACTCCATGGACACATTATAGTTCATTAACAGCTTCCACAATAATTAAGTGCATTTGTGGTACATTAGCCAGTTGTAGACTCTTTGAAGGTATAATTTTCACCTGAGGGAGGGAAAAAAGCCTGACTCTTGGATTCAAAACATTGGGAGAGAAAAAGAAAGCTCTACTCACTGCTCATATTCCATATCTCCTCTCAGATGAAATAATGAGATACATTTTTTTTTCTCCAAAGAAAAAAATGTGACAGCAGAACACAGATTGAAGCTGGATGTAATTTTCTTCTTATAGTTTTCATTCCTTTAACTTAATAGACAACTCTATCTAAAACTGATGGGAGGAAAATAAATGAACTGCCAACATTCCCTACCTTGATATATATATGGATGGATAGATAGATGATAGATAGATAGATAGATAGATAGAATAATATACTCCACTGAGTCAAATATTGCTATTAAGCCTTATTAAATGAAAATGCAAAGACATCTTATGTCTTTACTGGTTCCTTATATACACCTTTGAATTAACCATTTACTTGCATTTATATCTTTATCCTTTGGCAACATGGTTGCCAAATACTGTAATCAGCCCCTGATTAACAAGACATAGATTTTGTAATCAAGGGATTCAAAAACCTGTATTCAACCAAGCTAATGGTGCTTCTTCAGCATTTGTACCATGCAACAAGCCTTCTACTTTGTGAAGTCTAGTCAAATAGCTTTGATGCTTCCATGTAGTAGGGAATCAAGAAAAGTATTTTATCTCACTGTCAATGTAGTTTTTTGGCTGCAATGTGGACATAATAGTGGTAACAACTTTTTTAGCATATGGTTGTCAATATGTTACATAAATTAGATATTCCCCTTATTAACTCTTCAAATTCACTGAGGAATGAAAGCATCATCATTGTCATTCAGTGGGGTTTCTGAGAATTACATAAGAGTCATCCTTGAAAACAATGAAGACATACTGACAAAATGTTTGATCATGTATGAAGTTGGATGCTAATCATTATTTCTTTCATTCTTAGTAGTCTCAAATCCTCCCTATATACTATGTGGTCTAGCTCTTGTCTGTATTGCTGGTTTCAACTTTGGACAATTTTCCTCACACTAGGTCTTCTCCATCCAACTAAATTCTTCCTCAAATAGGCCAAGCAGATTTCCATTCCTCAAAGTTCCCACAGGCTGTTCAAATGAATAGAGATCACTGTCTACCTAGCTACATTTACCTAACCTAATGGCTTCCTCCATGGCAAGCCTCAGTATTCAGGTCCTCAGGACTGTGCAACTATAATCTCTTTTTCTTCTTGGTGGTATTAGCAATTAATTGTCAGTTTCTTCTTGTTATAAGCTCCATGAAACCTTTTTATTTCATTGAATTATATTATCCTTACCTATAAAAAGTTTAAGAATTTCATACATGTGTGTTATGTGTTTTGATCAGATCTACCCCCATTCTGTCCCATCCAATTACTCCACTATTTTCCTTCTTCCCTAGATAATATGCACAAATGTATTCAGTACCAATGACCCTTCATATGAATGAAATTATAGTACACATGCTGGCAGTTGTGTTTGGATGATGAAAACTTCTGGAAATAAAATTAACTTATCATTCCCTAGCTTCATTCTGAATCTACCATTTCCTAAAATGTTTTAAAAATTAACCAAAATAGGTGCACATTCCAATTACATAAATGATACACTTTAAAAACCATTGGCTCAGTAGTAGAGTGAAGAGTCCTGGACTAAATCTCTGGCATTGCAAAAATTCCTTAGTTTGTTATTTTAAAGACATGGAAATGTCATATGATAAAACATTCTAACATGCTGTTTTTTCAGGATTGATTATGTATTCCCATTGGGCATTTCTATAATTCATTCTCAGTGCAAACAGCAAAGTAGGCACACTGATTTTGCTTTATCAAAAATGATCAATAGGAGGATTAGCTAGATAGCTTAGCAGTTTTTAAAAAAAGTGCTCCATGCTTTTCCAAGGGACCCATTTTCTTTTCTCAGAACCCACACTGGATGACTCACAACTGTCTATAACTCTACCTCCAGGAGATCTGATACCCTTTTCTTGGCTCTTGAGCACCAGCACACAGGTACACACCTCTCCTCTCACAGACAGACGGATGGACGGACAGACGGATGGACACACACACACACACAAATTGAAAAATAAAAATAAATCATTTGTAATGGTCAGTAGGAATCAAAATACTTAATTTGTTAATAAGAAAAAAAGCAGCAATTTAAGAGGTTATTTTTATTTGGGGAAAAGGAAACAAAGGAGATCTTGTGAATGTACAAGTCAGTTTGCTACACTTTAATAATTTTTTTAAGAATAATTATTAATTGCAGCATTAACATGACAAAGCCAAGCTGTTGTTCAGCATTCAGTAGCAGTTAATACTGATTCCAAAAAAGTGGTCTGGAATCTCATAAAATTCTTAGGGAAAATAGCTATCAGTCAAATTTAAAAAAATATAAGGATCACTTTAACTATAAACACCAAAGAAAACTCATAAATTTGTTCAGTTTTGGAATAATTTAAATCATGATACACTGAACTTTCTACTATGATCTTCATGCAACAAATTTCTCAATTTGTAATTTAAGCTCCTTTTAAGTAAAAGAAAAGTAAGTTAGCATATGTTTCTACTGCTTGTCCATATGCTATACCAGGAATTAGGATAATTCTAATGTGTAGTGAACAATAATATTAGTTTCTTTTGATAGTCTACAGCTTAAAAATCTTAACAATATTATATAAATATTGCAAGACTGAAACCTAAAGGTCATTTTGTTTTATGAAAATATAAAAAATTGAGTATCGTCTTCAAATAAGTTGGAATATTGTTTCAGATTTTTGTAAAGTTAAATAAAACTAAATCATCAAGCATTTAGTAAATATGACACATACTATATTATGTATTTTCCATAGTTAATATTGCTTGGAGATCTTGGGAATTGTCTTCTATATTTTAATATTTATTCATGTATTTATACTTTTAACAAAATTATCCATAGTATAATATAGCTGGTATTGTAGCAGGCATCATAATCATAAAGTAGATGAAATTTACTTTTTCTCTTCCTTTAAATGCTGTTCATAACTAGTGTTGATACATAAGTTAATACTGAGTCTAAGCACATGGGCTGGATAGCTTCAGTTTTCAACTTGACACGCCTGGAATGAGGATAGATCAATTGAGGCATCAGAATGACCTGTGGCCATGTGTGAGGCATTTTCTTGATTGTTGAATGATGTGGGAGGGCCAGCTCTGGGCCAGTGGTGCTGGGTTTTTTAAGAAAGCAGGCTGAGCACTGGGGATGCAGAGGAGCAAGCCGTAAGCAGCATTCCTCCAGGGCCTCTGCTTCAGTTTCCCCCTAAAGGTTCTTGCAGTGAGTCCCTGCCTTATTTTCCTTAAGGTTGGACTGGAAGTATAAGATACAATAAACCTGCCGGGCACGGTGGTGCACGCTTTTAATCCTTGTGCTTGGGAGGCAGAGGTAGGAGGATCTTTGTGAGTTCGAGGCCAGCCTGGTCTACATAGTGAGTTCCAGGATAGCTGGGGCTACAGGGAGACCCTGTCTCAAAAAGACAATTTTTAAAAAGGATACAATAAACTCTTTCCTTCCCAAGTTGTTTTGGGTCATAAGGTTTTATCACAGCAATATAAAGCAAACTAGGACAGCATATTGAGCTCAACTGACATATATCATTTCAATTTTTCTAGTAATTCCAAGACGTGAATTTGAGTATGAATTAGAATTTGAATCTGAAGACTTGAAGTCGAACTTGGATTCCTCTGTGACCTTATATTTTTGCAGAAAACATTTTAATATCAAACATAAATTGATTTCATTGACCTTCAATGTGATATTTGCACCAAGAAAACCATTCAAGTAAATACAATTTCCTCCTCTTTATCTTTCAATAGTATTGTTACTCTTTTTAACTAAGTAAGTTACTTTTTTCTATCTTTTTTTTTTATTTTAAATTTTTTTTTTTACAATTAAAGTTACAGTTTTAACAATATACAAAATATTATTTTTTGGCATAATGATTACAG